ACCTGTTCCCCCCATGCAGTGTGGGATCTCTGCCTACCCTCCCACCCCTATCTCCCCCCAGCAGTCCAGCCCCAGCTCCAGGGCAAGGCCCTGGCCACAGCTTTGTACCTTCCAGCCCTGGTGCTCTGCCCGCATCGCCCCCCGCCCCTCATCACCCCTCAATCCGTGTGTCCCCCCCAGGACGTGGACGCAGCCACGCTGGCACGCATCGACCTGGAAAGACGCATCGAGTCCCTGCAGGAGGAAATCGCCTTCCTCAAGAAGGTGCACGAGGAGGTAGGTCACGGGTGACCCTCTTTCCTGTGGGCACCCGTGGGACCGGGGGACGAAACGGGTGCCCTGAGTTGTCACCTTGTCCCCTCCCCCAGGAAATCCGGGAGCTGCAGGCTCAGCTGCAGGAGCAGCACATCCAGGTGGAGATGGACATCTCCAAGCCCGACCTGACGGCTGCGCTGCGGGACATCCGTGCTCAGTACGAGAGCATCGCTGCCAAGAACATCGCCGAGGCTGAGGACTGGTACAAGTCCAAGGTGCGGGAGGCGGTGGGCTCCAGCCTGGCCCCAGCGTGGCAAGTCCCGGCCGTCCCGGTGGCCATGCCCGCTGACCCTGGTCTCTCCCCAGGTGTCTGACTTGACACAGGCAGCCAACAAGAACAATGACGCGCTGCGGCAGGCGAAACAGGAGATGCTGGAGTACCGGCACCAGATCCAGTCCTACACCTGCGAGATCGATGCCCTCAAGGGCACGGTGAGCTGCAGGCAACCTTGAGACCCCCCTGCTTGCCTGCAGGGACCTGCTGCTCCAGGGCTACTCGGGAACGTCTGGGACATCTCTGGGGTCGGGGACTCTTTCCAGCTCTCCCAGTTGCTGCCATGAGCGGACTTGTACCCCAAATTTGGGCTGCACGTATCCCAGTGGCAGTCTGGGCCTCTGCGAAGTGTTTTGGCAGAGCCCCGGGGTCAAGGCACAGATTGCCAAAGGTGCCCCAGACTGGGAGGCTCCAGGCTGGCGGGGTGCAGGGCTCGGGGTGTCTGGTTGCAGGCTGGGAAGGTGATTGCGAGCAAACACGGCACAACGGTCCTCCTCTGGCATGGTCACGGTCACAGGAGCCAGCCAGCAGCCACCAGCGTGGCAGTGCCACCCCCTAGGCAGACATCCAGTGCTCCTGCACCTCTCCGTGCTCTCCTGCTGGGGCAGGATGGTTTTGCTGGGGGGCCTGAGTTGCCAAGCACCTGCCCAGCTTGCCCCTGCCAGACCCTGCTGCCCAGTGCTGGGCAGATGGAGGGTGACGGCCACACATCATGGTCCCACATCAGCTGGACCCAGCTCAGGGCTGACCACGGCTCTCCCCAGGTCCCTGGCTGTCCCCTAGGATCCCCCCAGCATCCCCAGCTCCCACCCTTGGTGACCCCTGGCCCCTCTGGGTCCTCCCCCTTTGCTGAGCCCCGCTGTCCCTCCAGAATGACTCGCTGATGCGCCAGATGCGGGAGATGGAGGAGCGCTTCGCGGGGGAGGCCAGTGGATACCAGGACACCATTGCCCGGCTGGAGGAGGAGATCCGGCACCTGAAGGATGAGATGGCCCGGCACCTGCGCGAGTACCAGGACCTGCTCAATGTCAAGATGGCCCTGGATGTGGAGATCGCCACATACCGCAAGCTGCTGGAGGGCGAGGAGAACCGGTGAGTGGCAGGGGGGCAGGACAAGGTGGGGGGACCAGCAAGGTCAGCTGTTTTTTGGGGCTCCCACCCCACAAGCAGCCACTCGAAGGCTGGGGCTAGCTGGCACTGAGCTCTCCCCTCCATGTCCCTGCAGGATCAGCATCCCCATGCACCAGACCTTCGCGTCCGCACTCAATTTCCGAGGTAAGCATTGCCCCGTGAGGAGGGGGACCTGGGATGAGTCCCTGGGGGTCCCCAGTGTGGGGCAAACCTCCCTCTTCAGGGGCTGCAGCCAGGCTGTCAGGTTGGGGACCCACAGGTAAGCCCCTGGTGTGGGGGTACTCGGACGGGTGTTGCCATGAGCTGAGGGGAGGTTAAGCCAGGAATCCTAAAGCCCCGCAGTGGCCCTAGCCTGACCGCTGTGCCCCATGTCACACATCCCTGCGGTCACATCCCCTGTGTCCTCCCATCCCCAGAGACCAGCCCAGA